TGAACTAAGGTATAATGTTTGAGTAATTTGAATAATATATTGTTTTTTCAAATGATTCTGGCGTTGACATACGAAATTTTATCAAGCGATTTCTTTCGATTTAACATACTTTACACCATAGTAATGTTAATATTGAAACTATACTTTATGGATTTAGTTTTTGAACAAATTACTTTCACTCGACCTCATTGAGCAAAACGCTATCATTACTTTTTTAATATGCACAGAGAAATATTTTTTCTCAGTGTCTTTGGCATTAGATATCTAAATACATAATTTTACCTGACATAAAATATAAATGTATAGATAAATAAACGTCAATATGGATATATTCTCCGAACTTTTAGATAAAGAATATTTAAAGTTTTAACTTAAACACATGACTTATATTTATATACACTTTTAAATTATTATCATTCATGGTGTCCTCCTCTACTAGCCCCACAAGATATTCTTGAAAACTTAACGGAAATTTTATCGTTCGATTATTTTTGAATTTCCGTGGACAAAGTAATGATGCAGAACAAAAATGCATAAATAAAAATAAAAAAAAAACATTTCGATGTGGTACTAAAAAGTTTGCAAAAACCCTCGTCTATCANATCGTTCGATTATTTTTGAATTTCCGTGGACAAAGTAATGACGCAGAACAAAAATGCATAAATAAAAATAAAAAAAAAACATTTCGATGTGGTACTAAAAAGTTTGCAAAAACCCTCGTCTATCATTTAATGTACTTAAATCCATTACTACAACTACTGCGAGTTTAAAATTATAAGAGTTAGTTAATTCTATCTCGACCATTCCTTTTTGATTTTATGTATAATAATACGCGTACTAAAAATAACGTACGCAGACGGTGAAAATGTAATAAATTATGGCTAATACTTATTTGGATGGTCGAAATTCGATCCGAAACATATCGATTTCAGAAAAATAGTTTATGTTTATATACACGAGTACAAGCTATCATCGGGTGAGTGTGATATAATATATTGTAATAAATTCCACAACACACAGAAATGTTTCTAAACCGGGTCCCTATGAATCTATTTCTTATGCAAAATAAGTCGGTCACGGCACACTAAAAATCGTATCATACATGTACCCCATATGGATGACTTATGTTTTTTAATGTTAAATGCTTGGTATTTATGTATATCCTTTGTATTATCCGTACAGTTTAACAAAAAATAAGAATACTACGTTGAAATTCAAACACTTTCTTTAAATATGATGATTTGATATTCAATAATATACATATATATATATATAATTTGTGTATAATTAAATTGACTGTAGATAAATTTTTGAATACTAATGGTTATTCTTTGAGCTGTTTTAAGTATTGTAATGATTGCGTCACATTATACCCATACTTATGTGTAGTAGTAAGCGCGGTTTGTATACAACGTAAATTTTAGGGGTTAGAGCAATATACTGTTATTTAATAAATCATATTACCTTAAGTTTAGGCATTTATTTATTACAAAACAAAAGCATAAAAATTGGAAACAAGGATAAAGTCAATAAAAATTAACATATTTGGGTAGCATTGATTAATTTAATGTACAAACTGGTGATTGGACCTTATACAAAGAACAACTAAATGACTTTTTGGAAATAAATAAAATAAAGCCAATTTGAAAAAAACATCATTAATCAACAATTTTGGTAAGATGAATACAAACTAATAAGAAATTTGTGTACGCCAAAATTGCCTGGTGAGAAAACATATCATTAATTATGAGATCTATTAAAAAAACATATTTTTTTTTGAAAATTAATATCTTTTGGGAGAGAAATAATTTTTAGCAAGAGAAAATAGTGTCAGTTTTAAATTTTTTTGCTAGAATTTTCAGTCATCTATTAATTGAAAATTCGGAGAATTATTAGATAACATTCTTTGGAACAATTTTGTACTTGGCTGAAAACAAGGTAGAGACAAAGACTGTATTTGCGAAGTCGAATCGAATGAAAAAATAACTATTACTGAACTGGTTGAAATCGCTATATTCAAAGAAAGTTACGTACAGAAAGACGGGGATCACAACAGCATCAATAGGATTTATACTCAGCAGCAATTTTTTGTTACCAGAACGAGTAACAAAACATATTCACAGCCTAAGTCGAAGTATTTAGCCAAATCGAGTGGCAGTGCAAAGATGTCATTCAATGAAGGAAGGTAACCAACAATTTAAATCACGACCCGGGTCATAAAATGGTAGAAGTCCATGCAAGACTTGTGGAAAACTTCACATGGGTATTCATAGTTGTAAATACAAAGAATTCAAGTGCAGACTTTATAGAAACATTGGTCATTTACAAGATATATAACTGGTATATAAAATGACTGATGAAATAACTGAGTTTATTTTTGTAACGTGTAATAGTGTTTGTTACAAACATAGTTTTCATTACAATTACATCCAAGAACGTCCGCAGAAATTTGTCAAGATAGGTCAAGAAAAAAAAAATTATTTTTTCTAAATGTTTCACTAAAAATACTGTAAAAACAAATTACAACTGACATAACGGAAATTCTTTATTTCTTGGGCAATTTCTCAGAAAATAAAACATTTTTGGGGATCTTACGCAAACAGTTGATTAAGAATAGATCTATTCAATGGGATTGGGTTTATTCAAATAAACTTATCAAGTGGAACTTTTTCCATCAGATTGCAATGATTCCTCAATATTCCACAAAGTAGCTTTGTCGAGTAAAAATCTCATAGATGGTGCCACGAATATTCGCTAAAGTTATATTATGTTTCAAAAGCAAGTGATAATATTTTGTTGGATTTATTTTTGAAAATATCATTAAGTAACAAATAAAACCAGCACATGACTTAAATCGGTTTTAGACCAATTTTAAACCTTTTAATACAATAGCTATAAGTATAGAAAACCATTATACATGTTACGTTATCGTTAAAGAAGAAAAAACAGTGGGGTTAAACAGAAAAAATTTAAGCGGAATACCTAACAAACGTCACGTCGTCCGCAGTTAGCAAACTTTTTGGAGAAACTTAGAAGCCGTGGCAAAATTAATGACTCGGTTAATTTATTATTACTTGCCGTGAAAATAGCGGTAAGTTTTCTTCTATCTCCACTCGTACACTATCGTGTGGCGTTAGAAATATATTTTACCCATAAATTGTAAATTAAAGGCGTGAAGCAATAAAAGACAGCGGCAAAAATAGCTGTTTACCGGTTGATTATCAACATATCTGTACAAGTCCTACAGTGTAAAAACTATTCAAATATTAATCATAATTGCCTCGTGCATTAAATGTCATATTCAAGTACATTGGTACGCACACAAGTATAAATATATAATTGTTTAATCACCATGCAAATATTTTCTATTTATATTAAGAATTCGGATATTTTCAAAAGGGAACCGATAATTAATTAGACATTTTATACGAGAAAACATGATGTAATTAATATTAATTTTAAATTAGTTGTATTATTAAAACAACTAATGGTAACACATTTAATCTGTATTCGTTAAGTAAATGGTTCTATAGTGTGCAAGTCACGTGCTACATTGATAACCATTGAGATAACACTGTTAAAATTATGATTCAAATTATTTTTTTAGCTGTTGTAACGTTTATTTTTTTTATTTAACGTTCTACTCAGGCGACTAAATCTTCTAGAGGGTCGAACATTTAATATGATAGTGGGATTGGGTTAACTAATAGACACTGTTACTCTGGGGGACACTAAATAACCACAATGTGTCCCTACAATACCAAAAGAGATTTAGTTAGTTTATAGGGATAAATGATACGAGGTTTAAACGTACGCTCAACATGTTTTTCTCCACGATGTCTATTTATACAAATTAGCAATTTAGGTCAGATTGCTGTAACGGACATTTATTCGATATTGACAAAAATGTCCTTAATTCTTTTAAGACGGTCAGTTAATCAAATGTTGTTTTCAGTATTGGAAACCAAGGAAATATTTTATGGAGCGGTTCGACTGAAGGATATAAGTAAAGACAAAATTCTATTAGGTGCAAAACCCTGGAAATTTGTTCATTAAATTACTGGAGTATATTGTTTTCTATCACAAGTTTGTAAAGTTCTCGTTATGTTTCTACGTTATTGTTCTTTTGGAAAAACAATTGCCGGATGAATAGTGCATTCACAACTTTTATTTCTCGACAGACATACAAAAACAATGAGTTTCTGAATTACCATAGATATATACTTACATATAAACACGAATCTCTTCTATGTATTTTGTATACTACAACCTACTCGTGTTTTGTAAAGATATTATATACTGAATAAGAAAAGGGTGCAGTAATAAGGATGACATTTTTTTTATGTTATCATATAAATCAGAGTTTCGAGTGGAATTTAAATAACGTGTTATCGATTTATGTTCCTTCATATTGACTACAAAAACTGTAATATATTTTTGTATACTGTAATAATAATAACATTATTGTTTTTAAAATGTTATTAGAAAAGAACTATTTTTCATTAATTTAGTTTAAAAATGCACTTAATCGAATAAAAATGAAAATTATCATATCTTATAAAAACCTTTATGTTTTTTCTATGAGCGAGTTATCGATAAGAATAGTTATAATTTTACATATATTCACGACAGTTGAAATATACTTATTAAGTTGCAAATATGATAATTCAACATTCGTGTGGTCATAATTTTAGTTTTGTATTTGATAATCGTGTTATTAATGTAATAAAAATTTCAGTTTGACTTTATTTTATTCAATCAATATATAATCAAGCATAGAAAATTGTATTGCCAATAATAATTATAGATACAGTGAAAATTGGAAGAAATAGTTATAGTTTTTTAAAATTTATTAATATTCTAATCTATGTAAAATAAAATTAGTTGATAAGTATATTGAGTTCAATGATTTCAGATGTTGCAAAGAGTAAAAAATAAATTATACACAAAAAATTGAATTTTAGAGAATATATTTTAGTATAAAATTATATTTTACTTACTTCTGCAGGAGGCTCAGCGTGAACAATGCACACGATTTCTGTTTCACGCCCTTCCACTGTAAATACAACAGATTGTTCTTCTTCTACTTCTGGAGGATCTGAAATCGAAATATGAATAAGATTTTTTTTTTACTAAAGAAAAAAGCCGCGGCAGCTAAATGGCCATTAGCTAATATTGAACAAATACGAAATTGTACAACTAAAAAAATAAATTTCTGACATTGAAAAATGATCACGAATACAAGTAATAAAATACGTTTAAAACACGAATGAGTACAATTTCATAAAATTTATATTAATGGAATGTGTTTACGTGCAAAACAAATTAAATTGTTTTTTAACGAAAAACTTTAAAATTTACAGCGAGAATACTGATTTTTTTAATTTTAGAGAAGTTTACTTTAAATTTAAAAGTAAAAGTCAAAATTGAAAACAAACTTTAAAAACCATATTAGTAAATATTTCAGTAAAAACTAAATTTTTGGATTTGTTATTATAGTAAAGTTTGATATAACTCGTTATTAGAAAACAATTCAACCTGATTATTATTCTTTTAAAATTAAAACTACCGGAATGTTTTAAAAGAAAAATAATTTTATTATTTGTACAAGATTTGCAGCGTTTTGAGTCAATAATGTTAAAAAATAGCCTCGGTTTGTTATTAAATATTAAAAAGTACCAAAACGCAAATCAACTACGTTTAAAATATGTAATTCCCGTCAAGTAAAAAAAAATAATAATAAAGAGATTTTTATCCTTTTTAATTAAATCCGGTGTTGGATGTTTTTTTATTTGTGGAATTTTTAATTTTTAACCCTGTACAAATTCAACGGGATCCGTCGCTTTAAAAGCCGCTGGTAACCACTATATTAGCATATAATCATGTATGCATAACACCCACGATAATCTAAATAAAATGTTTAAGTAAAGTTTTAACTAAGTGCACGGGGTTATTTCATACTCTAATGGTATTAACAATTAAACGAATGTAACAAATTCAACAATTTATAAAATAGAACAGTATTGTATAAAAGAATTGTAGATACTATTTTTGCAAGAAAAATAGTAATTTATTATTGTGGTTTGAAAGTAATTTATATTTTTTGATTAATGGAGATATCTTTTATTAGTTTTCCTATATCGAAAAAATGTTTATCATTAATATTGAAGTTGTTAGATATTTTAATAAATCTCATTTCGAAAAAATTCTTAAATATATGAGAGTTTTAAAAAATCATTTATAATGATATTCTTTTTATACTAGATAACATTAAATTACATACTAGTGAAACTATAAAAAATATTAATGTTTCAGTTTAAAATATAATGAAGCTTAAAAATATAAAGATTTAACTGATACAGTTAAATTAATAATAGTTAACAATTACACAAAATCCTAATGAAATTAATAAAATAATAACTTGGTGTTTAACTTTTACTAGTAAAATCAACCAATCGTAGGGATCGTAAGTAACTCTAGTTTTTGAAGACTCATATGAATCTTGTATTTGATGAAGTCCACGACTCGAATAAAAGAAAGACCAGAAAGTCGAAATTTCAAGCAAACACAAACTTTACTTTGATATATGTTTGTAGGAAGGGCACGTGTGTTTGTCCCTTATGTTCTGATACGGATTGTTCAGTTAGCTGTGTTTCCATACTCACATGTACAATCAAATAATAAAATCAACTTTGGTCTTCGTAGATAGACGGCAAAGGCGAATAATATTGAGTAAGCTGTGAGTAAACACACGTGGACGCAATACTTGACAAATTCAACAAATAAAAAAACTACCAGTATTTTAATTTATTATTATTTATTTTTGAAAGAAGTACATTTAATTAATACAAAACAATTAACAAAAGCAACCCGTTTACTTTGTCTTAATAAACATTTAGGTTTAGTTTTTAGAAGCAATATTTTTGTTGGAAATTACTTAATTTTGGTACTATACACGTTAAACCTTTTTTCATTAATTTTGTTTGTCGAGTTACATTTTTTAAAAGTAGCGAAATGAAATTTATTTTATTTATTGCTATCAGTATAATAAAAAATGAACTAATGTTATTCGTACACGAAACTCACTCTTTTTCTTTTTTAAATATGCTTTCATATAATGATTTCCAATGAACAATGTATTGCTGGAGCGAAAATCTAATGAAACATATTTAGTAAAAAGTGAAAAAAATGCATTGCTCACGATAATTTCTTAAAACAGAATTATTAGATTTGTCAAGCATGTTACAAACGATATTGTTTGTGGGCAATAAAGAAAATGTTTTGATCATTTTTTTGTTTTGTTCCATATGCTTCTAAAGAAATGTTTTCGTTCAAATATTTAGTGGTCACGTGAATTTCGGGAGGGATTGAGGGGTGCAAGCCCCCAAATTACGCCCTTGGTTTCTGTCTTTATAAAAAAGACCTAAAAACTGATATAAAATATTACTTTAAATGTTGTTTTATTTACATTGTAAGTTTATCAAAATAATTATTTTCTTGGTGTGTCCGTTTTCTAGGTAAAAAAAAAAAATTCAATTGCAATTTATGCGTTTTAGTAAATATAAACCGATTAAATAACAATTTTACGGGTGACACAATATGTAAACTTTAAAATTAATGCACATAAATAATAAAAAAAATTGTAATAAACGAGAAAAAAAGAAATGCGTAAAAACTCTATACATTTTTTTTAATTAAAAAACTTTCAAAATGGTTCTATTGAGTTCTGCGGCTATGTTGCGTTGTAGGGTTATACAAAACAAATATTGTTAACGTAAAACATTATTTTGCTCTTAATATAAAACAGTATAGTTATTAAACATTGCGCCTTGACGTTTTGCGGTAGATCATTCATGCTAAATTTTGTTTTTCTTGCCATACATTCGCCAGGGATAGTTTAAAACATTCCATCTATTTGTACATTTATCATAAGTTGTTATACAGTGTACAATGATAATGTTCTGTATAAATGTTATGTTGAATGAATTTCCATTAAAATAGTGGAATCTGGAAATGTGATCATGAACTCCATTTTTTTTTCTTTTCATTATCTTTCATTAAATTTTGATTTTACCTTTGTTAATACAGTATCTGTTAGAGTAATTGCACAAAAAATCCAACGACGTTTGAGTTTGTTGCATATTTCATTGGTAATAAAAATATTAGGGCGTAATGGCAAACGTTGTAACTTAATAAACGCGTTACAATATTCTTCCAATGTTTGCTCATCCACTACTCCTCTAGGCTTAATCATTGTATGTGTTTACTTTTGTTTGTACATTGTGCAAAAGACATAAGGCTTTTAATAGTTAACCGTTCATGTTGGAATGCAATGCTTGTTATGACATGAACTTTTGTTTTTGAAATAAATGGAATATATTTACGATTTTATCTGCAATCAGTTCGTAAAACAAAAGTCGTTTTAATTTTCTTGTATAATTCAGATCAAGAGATCTATTGTTGTATAAGGTCAATTTATATTGAACGATTTAAGTATTGTTTTTTGATTAATTGCTAAATATTATCCTTATTAATCTCAAAATTCATTGGAATTGAAAGTTATTATCATTTTACATAAGTTTCACGCCAATTTAACTAGTACCTAATTCAATAACTAGTGTTTAACTAGGTACTATATGGACTAGTACATAATATTATAATATAATTACTATAATTATATTAAAATATAATACATCAAATATAATTACCCGTTTAGTTGACCTTATAACTACTACAATAATGACTTAATTTTATTGCTATATTGCGGGAGGCATTAACAATGTTCTTAATGTCCCCAATACAATTTATATGATATATATATTACAATAAAAAATATATATATAATTAGATAAAAATTTAATTGGTTATTTTTAATATCAATGTAATATTTTAGAACCATGTTTTCTATTTGTTTATAGTTTTTTGTACAATTTTATTTTAAGGGATGCCAATGATCTACTAATGTTCGTGAAATGAAATGTGGATTTTTTCTTCCTTGCCCATTTCGTAAATATGTTATGTAAAGAGTCATCCGTTTATCATAACCTATTGAATTACTCACAAAATAAATACGATATTAAAAGTAAAACTTTTGTTTTTTTTAATTATATATATTCTTGATTTATCAGTTATTAATTACTTTTTAGCATCATAATTTTAGTATAATTTGAGTTTTGATCCATAATATTCTCGTGAATTATATACATTAACCCTTAACTAATGATGTGTGGAATTGGTATAAGAAAATACTGATGATTAAATGACACATCGGTGAAGTTAATAGTTGAGAGTTGAATAATCAAATTTTCTATATCATTAAGTGGAACAAATGATAAAGTTATCAAAATTCTCACATTATATCGAATCGTCACGTCTCCATATTGATTGACAAAAATTATAAAGAAAATAATAAATTATAGAATAGGTTAATTCACAACTTGTAGCGTTCACGGCAGAACGAAAAATCGGACATTACTTCTTATTTTGGTTAAAAAAAATTGACAGGAATTCTCTGGCTACACAATATTTTAATATATTAAATATCTATCTGTTTTTTCTGTTTTCAGATTGCCATACAATATACCAATGAGTTTTAGTGCTACTATTTAATTGTATTATCGTATGTATACAATTATGTAAATACACAATATTCGTACAGTAGTGGAGCAAAATGTGTGACAGGTTATATCGGCGTGAGCGACTTGTCTCCATTGCACACTATCGATTATTTTTTAAGAATATATTATGCAAGTTTCTATATAAAAGAAATTAATTACATCAGAAACTATTGGTTGTGTGAATAACAGAAGCAAGAAGATGGTAATACACGTGAATGGAAGTCGTTCATATACAAACCGGAATTATAAAGCACTAAAGTGCCCTATTTTTCTTTGCTTCCGGTATTCTCGATATATCGAAAAGATATAAACGTTAGCAAACTTAATAATAACACACACACAATCACACGTCATTAGACACTACAAATTGTCTCTATCCAATTTTAGGAATATATTTGAGATACATATTAAGTAAGGTAATTATAATTATATGTGATTGTTATATCATATTCTGTGTTTATTTTGATAAAGGAATCTTTGTAACAAATAATATTGATTTAACATTAATCGATTTATATCATATTAATCATATATAATTGAAATTTATAGGTGATACTAATTCATATATAAATTTATATTATTAGTATTAAAAGAAAATTACTGTGTAAGAATGAACATGTTACCATTGTAGATAATTAAGTTCCATTTTAGGGTCATTTAGTCCATAATAATATCATGAATAGTGTACAGTTGACAAAATATTAATGAAGTCGTTTTAATGGTAATAAAGTTATTAAACACTCTATCTGCTGTAATAATTATTATTCAATCAGTATTTTAAACTTCAGGACATGCCATAAAAACTGTTCATCTGCTAATGTTCTACTATAAGAATTGAATTTAACACAATCATTTAAATTTCTTGGAATGGTCTACCAATATTTTGACGTCTATTTACCTTACTCAGCAAGTTTTGTCTTTCTGGCAATAACGATTATATTTCTTCATTTATAATATTCTCAGCCTCTCCACGAATAATATTTGTAGGTTTCGGGTCGTTTTTGGACTCGCTGTTCTATTCGGATTACTGTTTTTGTCGTTTCAGTTTCGGCGATGTTGCAATATGAGATGTTTTGTTGTTCTATTCTACTATTACTTATGCAAATTGCGTTTCAATATCTTTTAATTCATATCTCTAGTATACTCACTGCCAATTTTCGTAGATAACAAATAAAATTGTTGACAGTCAAAAGATTTTGATTTTCGTTCGAGTTTAAAATGAAAGACATTTCAAATGTGTAAAAACTACAAAAATAAATAGTTGGGTCTAGTATAGATGATGTCTAACAGCGATTAAAATCACTATCATAAAAAATGCTTCGATGCGAATCTGTAGAAAGTGTTTAATTTAAAAAGATTAATGGATTATTCCAAAAGTTACATGATCTCCTATTTATTTATTTATTTCTGATTACAAGTTTTATGATTTAGAAGTGTAATATAGGAATAAATAAATATATATATATTAATAATATATAAATATTACTTATTATATTAAAAAAATCGTATTTTTTTTTATTAATTTTGATGTCTGTTTTCACCATGAAAACAAAATAAAGTCAGAAATTTTGTTTTTCATAATAAAGTATATCACATTAGCTTTAATTTAAGATATATATAAAAGTGTCAGTATTTCCGGAAGACTTTCAAAAATTAAGTTGAAAAAGTTCTACTTTCTATATGCATTTTTAAGTTTTGAACCCCCTCTGTAATAAGGGAGATGGTCCGATTTTAAAAAAAGTAAGCTGAATGAAAGAAGTATATAAATATTATTCCTCATAAGAAAAGTGTATTGATCCATACATTTTTCAAAAAGTTATAGAATTTTAAAGTTAAAAATGTAAAATATAAAATCGAGAATTTTAACACAAAAATAGCATAGGGTAGCTATTTTCACCGCGAAGACAAAATAAAGTCCGAAATTTTTTTTTTTCATAATTAAGTATATTATTATGAATATAACACATAAGCTTTAATTTAAGGTATAAATAAAAGTGTCAGTATTTCTGAAACACTTTAAAAAGTTAAGTTGAAAAAGTTAATTTTTTATAAAAAAGTTGTCATTTTAAATCCTCCCCCGTGGACAGGTAAAGGTTCAAATGTATAAAAAAAATATATCAAATGATAGGTAAGGACATTATGCATCTATTAAAAATATATATATATATATATTGATTTGTTCAATGTTGAAAAAGTTATGGCAGTTTTAAGTTTAAAATTAATTAACTAATAGCTTGAACCTATGCACTAAAATGTGTAGGAATAAATATAGTGGGCCATAATATGGCTTACGAATAATTTATATAAGTAGATTAAACAAATATTAGATAGAAAAAAAAAATTAAAAAGTAGACATTATTTTTGGGGGCGTTACTATTATATAGATATTTTTTAGTAAACAATTAAATGGTCTACTAAAAAATGTTAACGGAAAAATGTTGTTAGACAACTAAATTTATAACAAGTCTTAAGACATAATAATACTGAAGATTCGTTTTTATATACTTAGGGATTAAATAACATCCAACTGAAATTGGTGCTAAATTTTAAATACTTTAATGAGCTATAATTGATATTCTGACTCCATAATTCATTTATTTTTATTTTAGAAAGCTCAACAGGCTAAATGATATAATTGTTTCTTGACAACAATGAGTTTTCCTCTGGGAGACTATTTGTTATACACTTGCCGTTTTGAATTTTCATGAGTTTAATAGTAACTGTATGGTGGTATTGTTAGTTTTTATTGTTTTAGTTGAAATTGTATTAAGAATACAAATGAGCTAATTTATAAAAAATATAAATAACATAAAAATAGAAAAATACCCATATAACAAACTTTAGGCGTATATTTATTATATTAGCAATAAATTATACAATTTTTAATTTTTAATGAAAATTTTGCCAAATAATAAAAAAGTGTTCCCTTAATTTTTATATTGATACTCACATAATATATTTAGGTCTATCTGTTCAGTGACAGCATCGCCTATGTTATTGGATGCTGAACATATATAAATCCCATCGTCATGTCGACGAACAGATTTGATGGTGTAAGTATCACCAGTAAAAGTTTTTTCACCACTCGGTAACATATTGTTCTGAAAAATATAAAATTGTTTTATAAATTTTAGCTCAGGTCAATATTTCATCACAATACGTATTTTGTAAAATAATTACTAATATCACATAAAGCAATTTCCATATCAGTTATATTGATTAATTTTTAAGTATTTTGAATGGTTCAAATGGCAAAAGCTCATCGAAAATTATTTTATCGTATAATTTATAGTGAAATGCAATTGTTGATTTTATATGAAATTACTATACTGAAAACATTTTTGTCGTCGGTTCTATTTTGTCCATTTTATATTCTGCCGGCAAAAGTGCATCTGAGATAGACTTAATTGGCACTAGTATTTATGTTTTAGTGGGTAAGTGATGTGACGTGGTGATTTTTTCAAATTACCAAGAGTAAAGTGGTCTTACGGGTAAGACAGTATGAGGTAAGTATAATTATTTATTTTGACCTACAGCATTTCGGTATATACTTATATACTGTCGTACGAATGTTTATGTGCCCAGCGCGGCGATTTCCCTGTTTTAAATTCCAGGCAACATCTGATGTACATAATTTAGAGTCCTATTCATATCCACCACGTCCAAACAACGAGCACGCGAGAAAAACACATAAAAATTTTCCATCGAGGGAATGCTGACGGTCGTCCACGGGAACTCACACGCTGACAATAGTGGCGCAAGGGATGTGTTATTACTCATTTCACAGGAGTTGCGTACGTAAAGACGTTTTCCATTATAGGGGACATAAAGTTAGGGGGGTCGATGTTCAGGTAGGGTTGATGGCTGAAAGATATATTATTATCGTTTGACTTATATTGCCTGTAGATTCTGCATATTAAGTCCGCTAGGCTATGCGTCCTCCTTTCAACGATATAATGTCTGCGCGTCCAGAGGGTATTGTGAAAAGTAAACATTTTATAAGAAAAAATTTCACTCGAATTTTTATGACACATATCAGGTAAGCACAAAAGATAAATTCAACAATAGATCTCAATGTGTTTAAATTACTTTTGACGTTCTATTAAATACCGTCGGTAGATCATTGTTAATAATCATTCGGTTTTATAAAAATAAATTATATTTTAGTTTTCAAGTTATGTATTTAGTAAAATTGTTTGGTTTAGATTGTAAAAAAATGTTAAAGTAAATTTATTTATTCCTGTATATGTCTTTTAGGATGAATAACTGACATTTATTGTAGGTATTTCTAAATTTAAACTTGTGTTTATTTTAAGGAAGTATTTTAATCAGGCCTTTTTAAACAAATCCAGAAGAATCATGTAAATTTCATCTATTTTTTCCTTATTGTAATAAAAGTAAACTAAATGATATTTTTTGGCTTGAAAATAAATACATAACGTGGTATGTTAAAATTATCTACGTTTTAATATTTTCAATTATAAAATTGTTGTAATGCAATTAGTTGTAAAATAATTCATTAGGTTAAACTTAAAAATAAATTAACTAAGCTAAAACCAAATAACGCTGATATTTTAAAGTAGTTGTTGGTTAATATTATTTATATTATTGTTTTATCTAAAATGAACAATAATTAATGTGTTGCAATATGTTTATAAAACACAATGATAATTACATTATTTAACCTATTCGAGTAGATTTATTTATTAATTATTGACTAGTCATTAATTCATGCGAACGATTTTGCTATAACATAAAACATATAAAACTAAAATATAAATGATATCCATTGAATTTAAAGCCATTAGATGTAATGCCTCAATAATTATTAAATGACACACTAATCCCCTATAAAAGTGTACCTGTGTTTGCCTAAAGTAGAATTTATACTAAAAATAAATTAAAAATTATAGAGTTTTTATTTTTATTTTATATGAACATTAAGTTATATTTAATTTTACCATCTAAATAATGCTAGAATAATAAGTCTTCCAAACATCAGGTTACTCTACCAAGTAAATAAATTCATATGTTAATGTTATTGATTGAAATTTTAACTTAAAGCAAGTAAATACGATTACCGTATAATTCAAGAACAGTAACATTTTCCACATGGTAAAGATGAAAATATTTTGTACGGAATAACCTTTTTTCTAATATGTGCTTACATTTTTTACAATCTCGTTATGTGAACAAAATTTCAAATATTTAAAAACAAAAGGGTTGTATTGATTAAAAAAATTCGATGAAGAAAAAATAATAATATTTCTTGTTTTATTAAATCTTTATCGTTTTTCTAAAAAATAATTTAATATTCTTACTTTTCTGGACCACGTTATTGTTGGTATTGGATTTCCAGTTGAATTACACTGTAGAGCTACATGTGACCCTTTCTTAGCGCTTACTTTTCCATTTAAAGTTACTCCAATCATTCTTGGCGGGACTGTAAATAAATTTAAATATTAATATTTCGATTTGTTCAATTAACGTTTATACAGAATAGACATTATCTATTATATAGAAAAAATGATAAACCATTGTGTCACGAGTCATGAGTAACACTGATATTTGTCTAATATGGAAAATAATTTTTTTATGCTGATTGTCAATACAAGTCACAATGCTTGGAATACACAAAAACTAAAAGCCTGTAGAATACTTTTTTAATGAGAAAAGTTTGTGTACAATACATACAATTTAAAACAAAACTATAATGCATACTGTTTTAGTTTTTAATTTTCAGAGAAAATCGTTTAGTTTAGTTTAAATGATCGCTGTTAAAACTAAAGAAACTCTTATTTTATCGATCGAATAATTACTATGTTTCATTATAGTTTAAGACGGCTTTTGTCGAATATTGATGTGTTCTATTGTGATATAACTACTAGTTTACAATAATTGGTAAATGGCTAACGTGAAACATATTAAACATTAATCATACGTTAATGTACATTTTGATGTCTTAGTTACAAACATTATCCCAAATGCTTTTCAGTTAACTAGAATGTCAAACTTTGTTGAATGTTTAATAGGTGCAAATATTAATGTTTTTCAAACTTTTAACGCCGAGAACGTTTTAGCAGATATAAAAGTTCCGTTTAAAGTTAAAAATAGTTGCTCCTAGAATACTAACTTGTGTCGCTTTATACATTGCATTGTTTGACGATAACTCAAGAAAGTAATAAAAGTAGCCGAGTGATATTTTTGCAAACTTAAATTAGAAAAATTATTCTAAGAGAGGCATTTTTATAATTTTCTTTTCACAATAACAAATAATGTTTTTCGAACGTACCACTCCAAAGATTCCGAATCATAATTAATTGTAAAAAAATAAGCAATTAAATAAAATTTCCGAACGTGCACAAAAGTGAAAAGTTGTCCGAATAATTACCAAATAATGTATTTTATTTACATATAATCAAATTGCTTTGTTAGACTTTTTTTCTGGAGCTAATGTTCTTATTTACCCGGTAGGTTACACGGTTACGTTTTATCTTTATTACAGTATGCCTGTAGTGTAAACGTTCGGATTACCCGTAAAGTCCATTTGCGTTGTTTGAATATAATAGTGGAGGAAATGAAGTTGGAACAAAAGACATCGGAATAGTACACCGACCGTTGAACACTGTTTCGTGTGCAACACAGACTGTTGGTTTTTATTTCATCAGTTTGTTTCTTTTGAATATTTTACAGACATTACATAAGTGACTCGTAGAATATCTAAGTAAATTTTAACAATTTCACCGTTATATTCAATTGGTCTGGTAATGTTACAAATTTATACTTTTACTAAAATTAATAAAAGTATATAGTACTATCGTTAATACGATATGAATAACTCGTTTAGTTTATAATAAAATTGAACTGCTCTAGAATCGTACGACAAAAATGACTTAGCTTATAGTGTATGTATAGTAATAATTTCAGCACTGGATATTGAGTTACTTAGATGATTAAGACTGTTTAGACACGAGTATCCGTTTTTGTCCAAAACGAGTGAAATTTAAAACGTCTCATTCCTAGTTACGACATAAAATTTGATTTCAAGACCGTTCCGTTTTCCAATAACGAAAACTTATTGGTTCGGTTTCATTTACAAAACAATGACTCCACACGTGGATTACAATAATATTTTCGAGGTTCTTTTATCGCAGCAAGGTTCATAAGTATAATAAAGCGAATGAATGTAAAACAAGGGAACAATGCATAGCTTTCCTTTAGCCGGAAAATCATTGTTTAGGCGGTGTAGTAAATTAAACCTGAAAGTTATTCCATGTCGTATCGTTGTATTCTGCTTCTTATAACATTACGAACTCGTTATACTGTACTGACATTCTCGATATTAATATCTTAAACTTGTCTTTTCAAAAGGCATATTGACAAATGTATGATCAAGTTGTAAAAAATCGATTGAATGATTCGTGACATCCAAATCTTGTCTATAGATGTATAAAGACTTTAATGTAGAAATTGATAACAGTCACGGGTATATCTATTCTAGTAAAAAAAAAAAAATATTGGCCAAAAGAAAATATTTTTGGTGAAAAATCAGTCAAGTAACCTTAATTTTGAAGGTTAAATTTTATAGGAAACTATCCATTAGCTCTAAAAATATCAATTCAAATGCATATTTGTTAACGAATTTTGGACAGTTTCCTACAATTATAAACCATTGAAATGTTAGCGTTTTAAAGAAATTAAAAATTAATTTATTCATTTTATATTTTAATCAACGAGACTTTTCCTGTAACATTGATTTTTGGTTATTTACGAGGAACATTAAATAAAAGGGGGCACGAGAATATCAAGAGTCTTGCCAATACAATGAAATATTCCCGCAAAGGTTTATTTTTGTTTTTTGTTATTTATGATTTCCTCTTGGATTTATATTATAAACTTCGTAGTATATCTGAGGTGAGATTTATAACTTTTGCGTTGGCACACATTTTTTTTCTGTAGCAAACAGTACTTATTAATTCTCTAATAAACAGACAATGCTTGAACTTATTAATGAAGGTGTAAGAGTTAAGAAATATGTTTGAAAAATATAATAAACTTTGAAAGCACTAAATTATAATTTAAATTTTGTAAAAAATATACCTAGAAATTTCACAAGATGTATTTTACTATAGAACCGTAGTAGGTAATTATGAACTTTGACGATAAAACGGAAAATAATGAAAATTTATCGTTTATTGCCATTAATAGCATATAAATTAATCATTAGAAATCGATTACAAAATTAATGGGATTATTAAATGAATTCAATATCCATGTGCAATTATTAGCTGCATTTTAATTAAATGACAAAATGCTTATTACGTTTTTTTTTATTATTTAACATATAAATGTAAATATTTTTCTCCGTATAAAATATAAATATATATGACATCATATTTAAAAGAAATAATTACCTTTGTAACTCCAAAAAAATGTATATACTTTTTTATTTAGAAATTGACTACAGATTTGTATCATAATTTTTTTTATCCTAATATAATAATGTTTGATATGTTTATTTAAATTTATAGAAAATATTCATTTAAGTGAATATTTCTAAAATTATATTTAATACAATGAAATCGATGGTTATAATAAAATACTATTTCATGCAAATTATGTTTTAGTTTTTTGAAATAATTTTTTATAGTTAATTAAAGTTCAGGTTAGCTGTATATTCAACATAATTAATATTGATTAAATGAATAATTTAAGAAATACAAATTAGCTTTATTAAAGATTTGTAATCATTCATATGAGTAAATAATTGTTCAATTAAAGCTGTCATAATATTTTATAACAAAAAAAATAATAATATTATAGTAAAAATAAAAAATATACGGGATTAAAGTGTTATAACTTGGTAGTAACCAATTAATTGGTTACTACTTAGTTTTGTCTTGTGTCATCTATAATAATAACAACACATTTTAACATATTAACACTAAATATATCAATTATTGTAAAAGAATTTTTTTTTTTTTAATTTTTTTATGGGATCAACCGTAGTTTTGGTTCGTTTTAAATTTGTTTAAAGGTTTTTAAACCAAATTTCTATAAAATAAAAATTTATAAGAAAAAAATGCTTTTTCTATCAAATTATCAAGGTAAAAATTGAGTTTCTAATTTAAAAAAAATTTAAGGTTTTTTATTCCTGCAGAAATGAAAAAAATTATTTAACTTATAATATTATACAGTTTTTTAGGTCAACCAATATTTTTCTTTAGAAAAATTAAAAATTTTCAATAGTTTTCGAGTATATTATTACTTAATATAAGAGTATAATATCACTTACAATTGAAATTAATTATTATCTTAGTATCTCATAATTCTTCATACAGAAGGTCAATTAGTATTTCAATATCAGGTATAAAATTGAAGAGCAAGTATTTCTAAATTGTTACACAGGAGAACAATTCTCACAGTTTTTAAGGAAGAATAACAGGCTATATAACTGTTAAGCAATATTATCAAATATTTAATAAATATATATTAATTAATTCCAGATAATTCTGTTATGTAGTTTAAATAGATCAATAAATAATAGACAATGTATTATACGTACAATATTTTATAAAGGAGTAATATTCAGAATCAGTTAGATAAATTACATTAATTTCAAATAAAGTTTTACGAAGTGTATTTGAATATGTTACTGTGTGTTTACGTAGCTTTTTAGTTCACCGAGTCATTTAATAAAGAAGATAATTTACGGAAACTTATTTTTAACTTAAGCTCTAAATATTTACACTTAACCGTTTGAAGCGATTAACGTTGGAATAAATTCCAAGGTGCTACAGGCGTATAAGGTTTAATTAACTTGACTATTATTTTATTATTACAACAAACGGCTTTTTCCGTGCAAAGTTTAATTGTTTGCAGTTGGAATTTTTTCTTAAGTAGTTTTTATGTTGCTAATTAATTATACTGCATGTTTGTTGCCTTAAGATGTTTAGCTGATATTTTACTAAAAAAATTGTTGAAACAATGTGAGTTAAAGTTTCACTGAGGTCGCAGTTGTTTTTGGCTACATTCTAAGACATAATACAAACCGCAAATAGTTTAATCAATCCACTTAATGCGTTAACGAACTATTGACATTTCTAAAAAAAGGACAAGGTACAGCTTCAAATGAGCGTAGAATAAATACAATTTTTAACTTGGCCCTAGATTACACAAAAATAGATATTATTTACCACGGCAGCAAAATGAAGCTACGTTGAACTAACAAACAATTATCTACTTGTTTTTGACAGTATAATAATGTCTCTATTGATTTTACAGTAATTGAAATCGCGAGTAGTGTATTATTATTTAATAGTATAATTATTACATAAATGCGTTAGTATAAATTTCTAATGTGTCTGCATTTTAATTTATGTTTGAAATGTATTATTATTTTAAAGTTCATATATTAATTATAATTAATCAAAGTATTGATTTATAAGTGACACTCGAAAAACATTCAAATTTCTGTTGTAAAAATTAATATTATTATTTAAAATTTTTTTGTAGAACTGGAGAAATAGAGATTTGTATTAGTAGATTAAAAAAATGAATGTGCATACACATATCAATATTCTTTACAATTTTTAACGAAGACCTACTCCCTCTTAGAACTTAGAAATCACGATTATTTGTGCGTATCATTAAATTTATTTTGTTGACAATGGAATTGACGTTGTTAATAAAGTGCTTCAAAAAGTGGAATCGACATTTGATTTTAAAAAAATCAAAGAAAATTTTTTAATGGCGTCAGGTTGTTCTTGTATATTCGTTGTACGACATGGAGGCGGATGTTCGTGCTTGGACTGAGTATTTGATTTGAGGATTGATTTCAACGGTCGATTGATTCTGTAGAAGATTTTTTTTTTGTAGACCACTACACTTTGTAAATACCCTACAGAAGTCCGAATTGAAGCTCTACGAAAGCGGAAAGTATAGGTTTTTGTCGACCGATATTATTGTAGTTTGTGTCAGTTGTACCGTGAAACGAAATCACCGTCAACTTAACACATTTTTCAAATAATCTTCAATTTAATAATGTATTTTTGAAAGAAAAGTAATGTTATTTTTCATTTTTTGTTAACAAAAGTATCCAATGAACTCCGAACTATTTTACATTTAACTTACAAAATTACTTTTTCGATGTTTAGTAATAAACAGGAAATTTGTAAATATTTGTCAATTTCGAGATTAATGAGTTAAAAGAAAAAAATCACATAACGTTCATAATATAGTTTTAGTAATTTTTTTTTACTTGAAGATATTATTTGATAGCATGGTAATAAAATTAGGTTATGTGCCATTATCAACGTTTTTATCGTGTATAAATAAATAAACTTTTTTAGTGCAATGAATTTATTACTAGAAGGGATAGGAAAGCGAGAATGGTATATATGCCACTTACAGTTGTTCAGTAAGTAAGGAGACAGGTTTGTTGTTACAAACNCAGTAAGTAAGGAGACAGGTTTGTTGTTACAAACAATATGAACAATAGAAACCCGATTCATTACTTACTGAACACCCTATATAAAGGTACATAAGTTCTTTGTTCTTATGAAAATGTTCTAGTAATGCTACGAGTAACAATAACGAGAAATTCCAAAAGCCTTTAACCGATACGGTTATGAGTACACGGAAGAAGGAACCTTTAGGAGTTAGAGAAAAAGGCCTTGATCATAGGAAGCCCGAAATGTGTACAAAAAAAAAAGGTAATATAAGAAATAGTTAAGAGGAGCTCGTATTTGTTGCGTTTCTTTTACGGTATACTTGAAAAATAGAAAACAAATAAATCACTTATGTATACTTGGTTGAACCCGCAGAAGGTATAAGAAGACCCTACGAAACAACGGAAGGAAGTATTAAAAAAAACGCCAAACAAAGTTATTGTATAGCTTGGATAATACAACAGCGGATAAATATCAGCTAAACCGCAGTGGCAAAACAAAATAGTGTTGGTGGAACATTATAGTTATGGTTTCAAAACTACCTGAGTAGAACGGTTGGTTTATTCGTAGTATTTTATCAATATTCCAACATATGAAATTCAAAAGCGTCATAAGTAATAACTTTTTTTATCCAGAATCGAAAATAATTAAAATACGATGTCCGTAAATTTCATAATGATATTATAATTTTTAAATTGTTTACAAATTTGACTTATTATTATTATAATTATAATACTATTAATATTTTACATCAGAAGTTATAAAATATCATAGTAAAACTTTTAATAAGTGGGTAAACTGGAATTTTTCAGGATGAAGGCGCAATTAGAGAGAGATACAGACTCTTATCGCATCAAATATTGTTGATATACAAGCTATGATGTGAAGCTGAGAATACAAGACAATTCTTTTAACGCTATCCATTTAATTTTTCTTAAAATATTAAGTTTTTTTAAAATATTTTATTTTGGTTTTTATTAGTTACATATGTATTTCCATTTATTTATTATAATAGATTTTTAAGTTCATCCCTTTGTATCATATAGGGGTGTCAACTTTATTTTGTCAAAGGCAACATACATATTTAAATATTAAAAATAGAAAATGATCTAATTAAAAAAAATGACTGGTTCATAACAACTATTGGATCAGTATATCAGAAGTTAAAAATTTAAACTAATGACTGGTGGTGAAAAATGGATGCTGCCATTTTTATCACTAGTCAATACTCGGCCGTACTCTTTTACTCGCTTAGGTATGAAAATGAGAATAACTTCCGAAGTATTGTTTCAAAAGTTGTTATTAACCAGCCATTTTCTTAATTACATTATTTTCTATTATTATAATCTACTTTAATATGTATATTGTCTTTTATAACAGTTAATTTGATACACCTACAAGATATAAATAGATGAAACTAAAAATTATTTTATAACAGATAAATGGAAATACATAGGTAACTAACAAAAACCGAAAAAATTATTTTCAAAAAACTTAACATTTAAGAGGAATTGAGTGGTTAACGTTAATAGAATCATCTTGTATATTAACTTAATCATGATTTTTTTGGTATTATTTGTTATTCTTCATATTATTGTTGAAATAGTTGTATTTTCAATTGTATTTTTATTAGATCGCTTTAGATCATAGATATTAAATTTTTTTTTAACTTTTAAGAACCTAATTCAATTTAATTTAATTTAATTTAAACACCTTTAAGTCTTAATTAGGGAAAAGTAAAAAAAAATGACACACGTTATAATTAAACTTTCTGGTAGGCAGAATATCAGTAATTATAAAACGTTTTACATATTTTAGCTGAAGATTTAAATTATTATTTAGCTAACAACAGAAAATAAATATTTACTATAAACGCATATTGTACATTAAATTTGTATTACAAAGTTTCTTAACGAAATTTATCAATTAGCATGTATTATTGTTTTTTGATTTTAAAACGTTTCCTTATTGTGGTTGAATTAATTGATGAAATAATTACAACAGATTTATGCGAGATGTCATAAATGGGTAAAAACTTTTTCTGCAATTGAATTTGCATGATAATTGATGTGATTTGAACAAACTTATGAACGTCCTAGGAACTTTAATAATTTTGTTATTTTTCCATGGTATTTGTATTTAAATAAAAACAGATATTAACTGTATAAACAAATATTACTAAGCAATTATTAATAATTAATTAAATTTCAAATAAATATCCCACGCCTTAAAGTGAAGTTATATAAAAAAGTAAATGAATTTCTTTTCATGGAATATTTTTAATAATAGGAAGTTTAGTAAATTTTTTTCTTTATTTTCTTTAATACTACAATACTTGAAGGTCATTTTTTTCAATATATCGTTAAAAACTAAAAACCTTTAGAGAATGCCTACAAACCATAATGTTTTACTAACATAAAATGCTATTAAAACAATAGAAATATGACATTTTAAAAATGAAAAATAAAAGTAAAAACTTTACAAGGCACACAGACATTCATAATGAATTTAATAATTGGCATTTTAGTAAAGTTATGCTTTATAAATTTACTAAAATCTTGAAATTATAATTTGTTTCTTAATCACATACATTAATTATTTTCAAAAACACTATAGACGTTTTTGTTATCATATAATTTAGACAAATACTAAAAATTAGCCCACGGAAATTTTAAATAACGTTCACGTAAAAAGTAATTTAATCATAGAAAAGTTTTTATTATGAAATGAAATTTTAGTTTCTAGATAGATAAACATTTCACAAAGTAATGACTTTTTCTAAAATAATTAATATTATTTTACAGTGAATAGCTATAAGGTAAAAAGTAGGATGTTTAATTAATGAATAAATGAAATAAAAATATTTTTGGGTATTAACCAAAAAAATATTAAACATTAAAGGGCACTGAAAAAAACTTCTGCTTGAGGTATTCAAGTCGAATCAAGGGCATTAAAATGAGAAAAAATATTTAAGTGGTGCACCTGAAGTACTTAAGATATGATTTAAATTTTCATTAGTCAAAGAAAAAACTGAAAGTTACCAATATTTTGTTAAAGAAAAACTAGATTTTATAACATGTTCAGCTAATGTTCATTTTTATCGAGGAATTCTAAATTTATCACTGCTTAAAATCTTACTTAACTTGAGGCGGTGGGGTACAAATACTGGACGAAGAAATATTTTAAAGATAAAATAGATTAAAACTTCAAATATTATCTCAAACAAGAACAACCATAGAAGTACTTAAAATACTTTGTTAAACTTAGTATAAAACCAGTTCATTGTAATTTTATCTATATTTCTTTAAGATAATAAAGTGCTCCATTTAACTTATGTATCATTAGAGTTTTCAGATAAAAGAATTTTACTTTGTCATTTAAATTTAGTTAAATTTGAACACGTGTGATTTAACCATAATAAGCGTAAAAAAATCTAATTCTATTATATTTATGACAAAAGTATAATGTTCATAAGACCCTCAAAAATTCTTATACATTATCTTCACTCCGTTAAAAAGTGTAAAATTATTTCAAGTTGATGCATTTTTTTATTTTATAAAGTTTTCTTGTTGTTTTACCCCTGTACTTTCTTAACAATGTGTATTGTAAATTATGTTTTAAATCAACCGTTATGCGCTGCTTTTGTAAAGATAAAAATAAGTACTTGCTAAGAAGTTCATTAAAAAAATGTAACTTATCTTAGTTTACATTTTACTTTTAAATCATATTATCTGTTAAATTATTCCTGAATAAAGTTTATGTAGCTAGTTTATCATTATTTATTAATAATAAACAACACCTAAAAATACTTTGACTTCGCTTGCTTTTTTATTAAACCGACAATTAATTAGTAGCTACACAAGAATCACATAACTTTCCATAGCATTCCGAAATTTTTTTATTATTAACTATTTATGTAAGTACAAAATCTTCTTTCTTTAAAAAAAAAAAAATAAGTTTTGTTAAATAAAATTATACAAACACGTTTGTGAATAAAACACAACAAGTAAAATTATAGACAGCTATATCATTTATATTTTAGATATTTTATTACATTATATTTATTTAAAAAGAAGTTTATTATTTTTACTTGTTGCTGGGTTTTATGAACATAACAATAATGCATTGTAACTCGCTGTACTATCTTAAACGGAATATAGTAGAAATTTATATGATATTGATGTTTTTGATAGATTTTACTTCTATTTAGTCAGATAACACACACATAGACTTTGATACACAATCAAAGGTAAAACTAGGTGAATTATTACTATGAATAAGTTTATTGGAATAAAAATTGTGTTTGTATGCCGTAAGTCATGCGCTTACAGAGTTGAAAAGTTACCAATTGAACAGATCGAATTTATATATTATAGTGGTTTCTTTGCCTATTGTTTTTTGCGGTAGGCTTTGGCGTAACTAAGCGCAATTCGAGATTTTGAGAAGAGAAAAACGATACAACAACAGATGCAAACTTCACCTACGCACAATTCACCGATGCCTAAGATTTATTGCTGTACATCGAAGACGTGACGTGATTTACTTAGGCAACTCAGGCAGTGCCGTACAATCGACTCTTGTAACCCAACTCAATGATACCTGATGTCAGAACACATTTTTCAATTTTCTTTTTATAACTATTAATACGTGTTTATATCTTAAAATCTGACGCTTGGCTTATAAAACTATGTATTTATCTATGTTTATTTGACATATAACTGAGACTTTAATAAGTTTAACAAACTTTAATAGTATTTTGCGGCACATAATATTAAGTTATTTTTATTATCACAATTAAAATTTAATAATGAAAACATTTAACATGTTTTCATTATTAAATATTTTTATTTGTGACTTGGTTTTTATTTTTAATTGAAATTATTTTTATGTTGGTGCTCTGTAATACTAAATTTAGTAATTATACTTGGTATTGTAATGATATTTTCATTCAATTTATTAGTTGGGTCAGAAAATTATAAATTAAAATATTTTGTATATAGGTGGACAATTTCTTTAGCTTATTCTATATTTATCATAACTATTTTTTACACTTTTAAAACTGAATAAATTAAGTAAAAAATATTGTGTTTAAACATCATTATTGGCTTAGTTTACTCATTGAAAACATTAAAACAAATGTAAAATTAAAAATATTAAATTTTTTTAGCAATAACATTTGTAGAAAAAAACTACTTAACAATAAAATAATTATTTCATTGCTAATACAACATAAGATATATTACAAAATCTTCAAGAATTACAATTCTAGTCAAGTTGTTCATAGCACAACTAGTGTCTGTTCTTGACAATTTACACCTTTATTTAAGTATTATAAAATTAAAAACATAGTGGTAAAATTTTCAATTAATAATTCAATTTAAATGCAAATAACAAGTTATTTTTTGATTTAACAGTTGAAAATTATTCACGAGGTCTAAAACAATGTTTTTTTTTAAGTTAATCAGTCAAATGTTTACAAAATACCAGGTAATATGACTGTATCAATATTATATTAAGACTATTAGCATCTTATAATATTAATATTTATTCTAAAACTACACTAACAATTAAATTGTGAATTTTCCACGCATGATTTCCTTTTATTAACATAATTTAATGGTATACTCGTTTTACATCAATTATTATTATGAAACCCAAGACATTATAGTTTAATTTTAGAAAAGCGGAAAGTGTGAATGGTGTAAGTATTATAAGAGCACATTTAAATAAATAACGTACAAATATTTTTCATTTTTCGGTACTCTTGTTCAGTTTTTATATAAAATTTTGAAAAAGTTATTTTTATTGATCTAAACTGTTAGATATATTAAACGGTTAAATTTATTTATACTAACATTTTTTTTCTAATAAAAATGAGTTTTATGAGGGTTTTGTATAATAAAGTAATGAATTTTTCGATTAAAAGTTTAATTTTAATTTTACTTGAAATACTAATAAATTATATACAAAATATTCAAAAAATAAGGAAACCGGTCAATTGTTACAAACAAAAAGAACAATAGAAACCCGTTTTCTTACTTACTAAACACCCTACATAAATTTAGCTTAAAACTAAAATTATATAGAAATATTTTAATGCCTAATCTTCTATAAAATGTATTATACTTTCTATAAAAATACTTACTTAGAATTTGTAGAGAGTGTTTTAACTCTAAAGGTTCTAAAGTGCCTATCTGGCAAATATAATTGCCAGCATCACTTATGTGTACGTTACGGATTTCAAGATTGTACCCTTCAACTATTCGAAAACGTTCTTCGGGTGTTACCTTAGTAGTACCAGCTGTTAATATTGCATGCCCTTTTTTCCAAGCCAATACATAGTTTCCTAAAAATAAAATAATTTCATTAACACTTTCAATAATTTTATATTAAAATAATAAAAAATTCAAAAAATAAAATTCACTGTTTAAAATACAGTGACAAAAAATAGTTTACTACACCAAAGTATTATTATTGTCTATCCAATACTCCGTGTTACAATATACTTATGAAACAATCAACATATACATTATGTGGTACTACTTTAAATTTGATTGTATTTTTTTGAAATTGAAGTAGAAAAGTTTTTCTTATATTTTAAATGATTATAAGCAAAAAAAAAAGTTTTTTTTAACTATAAATTAAAAGTTATTAAAATTAAACCGTAAATTATTTATAATAATAGTTTTCAACGTAGAATTAGTTTGAAAATATAAGTGTAATATAACTTATCTTTTGCAATATAAGTAAATTAATAATTACTTATTATCGTAATCAATAAATATCTATTTATAAAATACCACAAAATAATTGTACTACTTATTTTATTTCATAGTTCAGAAATTTAATTTTATAAAAATTATTGTTGATATAAGTACGAATCATCACGTTTGAAAATCAAACAAGTTATACAGTTTCAAGTTAGGTCAGGTGAGATTAGATAAGTACCATCATAAAATAGTATAAACATAGACTTTGCAAGGAAAAGTTTTGCTGTGTAAGTTTCAACAAACAATGTATACTCGCCGACATTTCTTGGTATTCACTAGAGACTAATTCAGTCGACATACAAGCAAATTTTTGTTTGCCAACTAAGTTTAATGAATTCGTTTTTGATCTGACTACATTGTTATTGTTCAACTGTGATTTACACAATATCCTTAAAAATATAATATTATTTTTTCTTTTTGAAAGTTGACAGTATCCTACGTAATATAATTTTCAAAAAAAATATTAATCCTAATTCCCTTTTTCCTTAAAAGTTTATCAAATTTATATTTTGGAATGGAAACATAATTGTTTAATTTACTTGAAAACTAGAAAATCATCTATGAAGATGATAGGTTGATAATAACCTTAGCACTAGTATTTTGTAAGTTATTAAAACTTTTCTTTAATGACTGATGGTGAAGTGGGGTCTTTTTATTTTTGCCCCTAAGCATTAACAAATCATACTACTCTTTTCAATTTATTTTAAAGCTAGTAATTTCTTTTAAAATACTAGTCCAAATTTTTTTTCCGACCAATAATTTTTTTGTTAGATCATTTTCTAGTTTGTAAATTATTTAAATATTTATGTTTCCATTTAAAAAAACTAAATTTATAAACTCCTAAAGAGGAAAGAAGGAAATAGAATCAAACTGTTTCCTGACAATTATAGAACGTAGGATACTATTAATATCTAAAAAAAAAATTGTATTATGATTTTTATTTTTATAGTTATTGCGCAAGTCATAGTTGGGCAATCACTTTGTATGCAAACATACAGTTTAACAATTAATTTAGCTTTAATTTTTTTAATAATCTTAGTTATTATTTGTTTATTAGAAAGAGATGATTCTTTAGTTATGGAACACTTGAATATATACCAATTTTGGCACAGGAAATTATTTTCTATAACTGTTAACTTAACCCAAACGTATATTACGTGTAGAATACTAATTTCTACACATATTCGATTTGTATAGCTCGTTAACAAGAAGATTCACTCATGTATAAGTTATAATAGTAATAATAATATCTAATATCAAATTTAATGATTCCTTTGTTGGTATATCTTTGTTTTGACGATTTGTTCTAAAATAACACCTAACAAATTATTTGTAAATTAAAATTATACTTGTACATTCATTCAAATTATTAAACAGTAATATAAGTTATAGAGTCATAAATACATTATATCATATTGAATAAAAAATATCAAAGTCATCAACTCAATTAAATAACTGTTATCTTGATATTAATATGGTTTTATCACTTTTATGTGATAAGCGTTTCTTTTAATATGATAAAAATAATAATTATCAGTAGTTTGTTTTATGATTTTTAGTTTACTACGATAAACCTTTGGTTGTATAATAACATATTTAATAGTACAATATTATAATATAAAAACTTAAGTCAAATAATAAACTGAATATCATCTGAATTGAGAGAATGGATTAAAATAAATTTTTTTTTTTAGTAAATGTAGGTAATTAAAATAAAAATACTTTTGCTAGACAATGTTCTTTTTTAATTTTATGTATCACAATGGCGAAAACAAACTAGAGGAAATACATAATTAACACACAAATTTATATATTGAGTTAAATTATGATAGTGGTTTAAAGAATCTTTAAAAAAAATTTTGGATTAATAAAAGTATTTATTTTCTGAAGTATAGCTATTACACAAAAATAATAAATATTTGAAATAAAATTATGACCCTGAACACTTAAAAAATAAACTTTTACACTTGAAAAATATTATTAATTCAGTAACCGTACCTTAAAGACCTTGTATGGGATTTATATATAAGTCCTATTATTACATTTTTTGAAGTATAGTAAGAAAAAACTAAACAAAAATGTTGTTCAAGTTTTAAAAATTGCTCATAAGCAAGTTTTACAATTAGTTTGTTAAAATAATTCAAGAATTGTAACATTAGTAGCAACAACGATCTATTTTAAAGTATAATTAATATTATTTTCAACTGAATAAATTTGGCGAATGGACTTCACAGATATTTAATGCCGTCGGATAATAAATCAAACCTCACTTTTTTTGAATTTAGGTTTATTAATGAAATTAATAATAAAGGACAGAACAAAGTTGGATATAACATTTTGTATATTTTTATTTTTGCGAAGTTCAATTTTTAAAAGTAAAAATTGATTTTTTTGTAAATTTTATTATTGAAAAGACTTTTTCCCCCTTTTTTAGTATTTAGCCATAGTATAAGGAATAGGCAAGTGCTACCAGTGCCCTTCTCCTATATACGCCACTATTGTAAGTTGTTACAGTTTACTGTTTTCTAATATAATATATTAAAATAGTAATTGGTTATCAAAAGGAAATTTTCCATACATAATATTCGATTTATGTGATGAAGAGTAGAAAAATAATGATTTTATTTTGCATTTTTTTACGATTTTTAAAACTTTTTTGTCATTTTTAATCACTTTAATACCTTTCATAAAATGATTAATAAAAAATTACCTTAATTTTACTAAAATATTATATGTTAAATGTCTATTGAGCAAAATAAGAAAAATTTTCTTTAAATTATGTATGAAAATATTTATAAGCGTAATCAGGACGGCCTAGGAGAGCGACTTAGTTCCCAAAAAGTTATGAAAACTACCAAAATATTTTGTTCAAAATACTGCTTTAATACTTAACTCAATTTTTAAAAATCTAAAAAAAACTTTTTTGATTTTTTAATAATATGTATAATACAAAATTAAATCAATGTACATAAAAAATATTTTTTTGTTTTAAGGCACCTTAATATATAATTTTTTTTAGTCAAATTTATAGAGCATATATTGATAATTTACCTGTTATTTGTAATTATTGTGGATTATTTTTAAACTTTTTAAATTCTTTTTATAGGGCATTTTCATAAGTTTTTAAAGGCATCTTTTAATGTTTCTTAAGACATTAAAATCTAGGACTTAGTTATAATTTACAGACAATAGTAGCATGGTATTTAGACATGGTAATTAACCTCAAAAGTAGACATTTTAAAGTTAAAAACAGACTAAAAGAGATTTTTACAACAACCATACTACTTATCATAGTTTATAAGAGTAAAAATATACTATTCAGTACATTTTTATAAAAAATCATTATTTAACGAATAAATTTGCGGAAAAATGATTTCTAATATATCACCTTGTATAATAGGTGTGTCATAAATACAATATAGTATATTTAAAATATACAGAATGTATCTTAAGTAACGACCAGTATACAAGATGGCTATAAGTAAAAATAATCATATTTAATTATTATTACAGTGTATCATAAGTACATACTAGTATTCTATACATATAGAGTGATTCCTTAACTACATATCACAAAATATTTTTGAAAATAATTATTCGAACTAATCATCACATTATTTTTTAACAGTAATGGTTCATTGTTGAGTTGATTTATACGAAAAATCAATTTTCTGCTACTATCGTACTTTACCCTAAACTATTATCAACATTCTATTTTTAAAAGGCAAATTCATTTTTGTTTTGAATAACAAATTTATTTAATTCAAAAAAAAATTTATGCGTAAAAAACTTTTTTATATAATTCGATTTTCAACTAGTTATAGTTGTATAATAGTTTAGAAGCGATCATAAAAAAGGGTACCTATTTTCAACATTATCGATAAACGCTACTGGTTCGTTGAAAAATGATTATCTGTTTACTTATGTTATGAACTAATAGCACCTATCAATTTACGACCAATAAAGATGCCGCCTTTTAAAAATAAGTACCCCTTTTCCACCTAGTTACACCGGTGACATTATTATATTAAGTTTAATATAATATAAAATAATGTTAATCATTGTTATAATATAATTATAATATATAATTTCTAGCGGTCAATGCATAATACAATCTTCTGAAAAAATAGTTTCTTGCTCCACAAGACATAAGTATAAATTATAACCAAATATTAACAAATTAATTTTTCTTTCTAAATTCAAAGAAAAGATTAGTATTTTCATAAAAAGTAACGTAAATAAAATAATGTTTTAGTCCCTTTTAAATATTTTCATTATAAAAATTGGGCTACAACAATTGGCTTATAAGCCAACAATATAATCCATACTTTATTGCTTTTATGTCTATTTTTCATTAAATAGATATTTTTTTCAAACCTAAGAGTTAAGTAGAAGATGAGTAAAATTAATTTTTCAATAAAATCTAAAAGTTTAAAATTACAATGTTAAAATTCTAATATATTTGATTTACTAAAAATACGTCTTCTTTCTTTCTATTTTATTAACTTAACCAATTCATGTAAACTGAGTGAAAGCCGTTTTAATTTCACTATAACTTCTTGTTTTACTATCAGTA